ACCTAAAAGAGACTTTTCCGTTAAAAGTATTTGTGCGAAATCATGCCAGTCTAGATGCAGCCCAATTTTCCAGCATCCAGTGGTTGGGCACTCATGATAGTGCGGCACCAACTGGAACCCGGAAGTGCTCTGGCTAGCCGGACAATTGGAGCTGCTGTGAACCCCATGGGCGCTTGCAGCTGGGAAAGGGAAGGGGAGAAGAGGGGAAGGGGATTATACCCCTGTGACGGGTCTGCCGGGACCCACACTGCGAACAGCTAGGGGGTGGAGGGTGGACGGGGAATGGCGCGGTGAAGGGCGAACCCTCTGCTGTTTTGCAGGAAGATGGGGGAAGCCCCGCGCAGCCGCTGGTGACAATTGGGGCATAAGGCAAAAACTACAATCCCCGTGACATGAGGCACAAAAGCAGCACAGGAGACACCATTATCGCACCAAGCCAAACCAACGCGTTTCAACAGTCTGCAAAGCTACCGAGATCCTGATTTTTACCCCAGTCTGAGATGGAAGCAGATGTTCACATTCCAGGATTTCCACGGCGACAGACATTCTCATCTTTGACCCGCTTTAGTCGGGACTAGTTCGCTGCGGAACCAACCGGACAGCACTGCAGCTGCTCTGCTCTACCGCTTCCCTAAGTCCACTGCTTGTCAGTTTCAGCAGCGGCGGACTTGGGGAAGTGGCGGAGCAGAGCAGCTGGGGTGATGCCAGGCGCCAATCATGGGGGCGAGGGTCGGCGCTGCCAGACTTGGGAAAGCGGCGGAGCAGAGCAGCTGAGGTGCTGCTGGGTTGGTCCCGCAGCGCCGCCCCTTGCCCCCCTGCTCGGCAAAAACTACTGCAGTCTGGGGGGTGGGGAGCCTGCTCCCCTCCTGGAAACTCTCCGCGGTGTTTTTCCCAGCGATCAGTTTCTGTGTTTATTTCTCTCAGGAGTAAGTTTTCAGTTGAACTGTCAGGTAGTGCTGCTCTACTAGCTGATTTCCATGTAACATAGTTATCTTTATGCAATACCGAAGTTTCACATGCAGGTATTCGGCCTTTTAACTTCCTCCAACCTCTACTGATGCTCCAACCAGATGGATCAGACAGTACTGATCCATTTGAAGTATTACTGTTAAAAATGAAACAGGGTACACAGTACAGAGCCTACTTTTCCGTGCTCCAGCAGAGCTGTTCTCTTGTGTAGATCTTTTCATTTGGAAGAGTTTTTGTTAGCGGACGAGTAGAAAAAGCTAGATTTTTGGCATCTTTTGGTATATTGCTTGGAATCTGAAAGCAACTCACTTTGAGAAATGAGTGCATTTCAGCGACATTGTTCTTCTCAAGAGTCCAATATCAGGTTCTGATATCACTGTTGTTACACTGTGTCCTGTGCTAGTCCTAAGTTCTTTCTCTTGCTGCACAGCATCTCCAAGGTCTTCATTTTCTGCCTGCACAGTCTCTAAATCGAGCGTAGATTCTGCATCTATCGCTACTGTTGGCATTTCTGTGTCTTGATTAATGACCTCCTCATTTTGAGTACAAAGCTTTCATTCTCAGAAGTGGAAGTATCACAGTCGGTATGGACAATGTCTAATGGCTGAGGCGTCTCTTCTACGAGAAATGATGTTATTGGCTTTAAACTCTTAACTGCTCCTGCATGCTGTTGTTTTTTTCATTTCTTACTTGCACCACTTTCAAATCTTTGCTTCATTTTTATTAAGGGGTTCTGACACACAATAAATTAATTTGCTAAGGGCTATTGGTTATGTAAAATTTCAATTGTATATACTTCACAATTAATATTATATAATAACGGTTTGGGGGTATTATTTACTATAGCTCTTATAGACTTATTTCAAAGTCTTGAAATTTCTTCTGCTAACACGTTCCCGTTATTAAAATTCCTCTTAATAACTGGTGCGTTATTATGAATATGAACTTGGGGCGATTGCCAGATTAGATAATAAAGTTTATTAAACAACTAGAATTAAGAGTTTATCATCACAAGAAAACCTTTAAAGGTGAATCTAAAACTGGACAAAAAGGTAGCTTACAACTGGGCCTGATATGTTTGTTGTATACGAAAACACATAAGAAAAAACAGGAATACGAAAATCTCCTATGCAGAGATAAACATCTAATTGGAAGATTAAACTCACCCTCAGACCAAGCAAAATCACTGCATGGTAACTAAATTTATTACGACTTTCAAAACCTCTAAATTATGCAAAGACTGTAAACAGCATTTCATAATGTAATACCACTAATCACAGAAGCTACTCCAGTCACGCACATGAAAACTTGGATATGACCAAAATATTGGTGAAGTCCCGAAGTCCCACAATGATTTAAATCAATTTTTGAAGGTATACATAGCTTCTTTTGTTGTGTGCGTAACTGGCAAGCTATAATAATAAATGGAAATGACTTGGTAGAAAAATGTCAAAATTTGAGGCCCCTTTGTCTCCTGAGGCTCCACCCAAACTGCCCTCCTGGTCCCCCCTCAGGTAGGGCCACTGCCTCATTTTGAGGCAGTGGCACTGAAATGTTGTTTGTGGGTACAAAGTTTTCATTATCAGAACTGTAAGTGTCCCTGTCAATATGTTCACTCTCTAATGGCTGAGGCGTTTTTTCTACGAGAAATAATGTTATTGGCTTTAAACTCTTTGCTGCTGCTGCACTTTGTTTTTTTTCTGTCTCTTTTATCACTTTCCAGTCTTCGCTTCATTTTTATAGAGGGGTTCTTTTAAAACACAGTAACACACAATAAATTAATACGCTAAGGGCTATCGGTTATGTAAAATTTCAATTGTATATACTTCACAATTAATATTATATAACAACAGTTCTGTGGTGTTATTTACTACAGCTCTTATAGCTTTATTTCAAAGTCTTGAAATTTCATCTGCTAATATGTTCCCGTTATTAAATTTCTCTAATAACTGGTGTATTGTTAAGAATATGATCACGCGGTGATTGCAAGATTAGAAATAAAGTTTATTAAACAGCTAGAATTAAAAGTTTAACAACACAAGAAAACCTTTAAAGGTGAATCTAAAACTGGACAAAAAGGTAGCTTACAACTGGGCCTGATATGTTTGTTGTATACGAAAACACATAAGAAAAAACAGGAATACGAAAATCTCCTATGCAGAGATAAACATCTAATTGGAAGATTAAACTCACCCTCAGACCAAGCAAAATCACTGCATGGTAACTAAATTTATTACGACTTTCAAAACCTCTAAATTATGCAAAGACTGTAAACAGCATTTCATAATGTAATACCACTAATCACAGAAGCTACTCCAGTCACGCACATGAAAACTTGGATATGACCAAAATATTGGTGAAGTCCCGAAGTCCCACAATGATTTAAATCAATTTTTGAAGGTATACATAGCTTCTTTTGTTGTGTGCGTAACTGGCAAGCTATAATAATAAATGGAAATGACTTGGTAGAAAAATGTCAAAATTTGAGGCCCCTTTGTCTCCTGAGGCTCCACCCAAACTGCCCTCCTGGTCCCCCCTCAGGTAGGGCCACTGCCTCATTTTGAGGCAGTGGCACTGAAATGTTGTTTGTGGGTACAAAGTTTTCATTATCAGAACTGTAAGTGTCCCTGTCAATATGTTCACTCTCTAATGGCTGAGGCGTTTTTTCTACGAGAAATAATGTTATTGGCTTTAAACTCTTTGCTGCTGCTGCACTTTGTTTTTTTTCTGTCTCTTTTATCACTTTCCAGTCTTCGCTTCATTTTTATAGAGGGGTTCTTTTAAAACACAGTAACACACAATAAATTAATACGCTAAGGGCTATCGGTTATGTAAAATTTCAATTGTATATACTTCACAATTAATATTATATAACAACAGTTCTGTGGTGTTATTTACTACAGCTCTTATAGCTTTATTTCAAAGTCTTGAAATTTCATCTGCTAATATGTTCCCGTTATTAAATTTCTCTAATAACTGGTGTATTGTTAAGAATATGATCACGCGGTGATTGCAAGATTAGAAATAAAGTTTATTAAACAGCTAGAATTAAAAGTTTAACAACACAAGAAAACCTTTAAAGGTGAATCTAAAACTGGATGAAAAGGTAGCTTACAACTGAGCCTGATGTTTGTTGTATACGAAGGACACGTAAAAAACCCCAGGAATGCGAAAATCTCTTATGCAGATATAAACATCTAATTGAAAGATTATACTCACCCTCAGACCAAGCAAAATCACTTTATAGTAATGGAATTAATTGCGACTTTCAAAACCTCTAAATTATGCAAAGACTGTAAACAGTGTTTCAAAATGTAGAATCGCTAATCACAGAAGCTACTCCAGTCTCCAGTCATGCACATGAAAACTTGGATGTGATCAAAAAAATTGGTAAAGGCCCGAAGTTCCTCAATGATTTAAATCAATTTTTGAAGGTATATATAACTTCTTTTGCTGTCTGTGTTATAACTGCAAGGTATATAATAAATGGAAATGACTTGATAAAAAAATGTGAAAATTTGAGGCCCCTTTATCTCCTGAGGCCTTGGCCAAATGGCCTCTGTGGTCACCCCCTCTGGTAGGGTCTGATTGAAGGATCCAGCATTCTGCGATTTCAAGAACTCTGGCCTCTTTAGTCCCTCAGGTGATGGATGCCAAAATAGCTTTTTGTCTGATTATAATTTCTAAAGTTCAATGACCCTATTTAGTAAGGGTAATTCCTGCACACATCTATAACTGTTGGTACATACTCTGTACATGCTCTATGTAATAAGCTTCAGAACCGGTCTTCCACCCATTTGTGTCTGATATCTTTATGACAGCTTTCAGATACAGATCTAGATAGTTGTCTTGGGAGGGAAGGGGAGGACGACATCATACATCTTAGGCTTGATAAGAATTGCTGACCCTTAGTTGTGAATCACCAATGGGCCTCTATGTCATAGTTTGACAGAATGATTCCCAAAATTATCACAATACTATAGTTCATTTTCATGAGATTTTTAGACCTTTGCTCTTTTTGCTTTTATCAGAATGTGACTTTTACTACAGTCCAACGAAAATACTTCAATGAAACAAAAGGATTGGAATATATAGAACAGTTGTGTACATCTGAATTTAGCACTGTGCTAATGGAGGTTCAGTCCAAGTATGTTTAAGATAAGTGAAAAAGAAATAGTGTTTCCAGATAAAAGGTTTTAACAATTTGTACAGATGTAATACACTGGCTAGTGTCTTCTCGTTAATTGGTACACTCACCTGTGAAATTCAGGATTTGTAAATGTAGTTGCCTTTTCATTTTTCACTCAGAGATTTCTGATATGTTCTTTAATAATGATGCATCAATTTTTAATTGCTTCTTGAAACCCTGATGTTCCACTGTTTATAGACACTCCTATCAACCTTTCTTTAAGAGCTTGTGTTTGCTAGAGGAAGTTACTAGAAAGCAACACTGAAAACTTGATCAGTTGGACTCACATTTCAGTAAAGCATTTCTAAAATTGCACTGCCAGACTCACACATGCACAATATCCAAGATTATGTGCATGTACAGACACAGGCATGTTTGACTTAATGCTAGAGATATAACAGTGTAGTCGATTAAATGATTAACCGATAAGCAAAAGCTTATCAGTTAATGCTGTTGACTACATGATCCCCCCCCCAGTAAACTTTTTAGAAGGTTGGCAACCTGGCTGGTGCTGGGTCTGGAAGCCATCCCTGCTGGCAGCCTGGCTCCTTAAATACTTTTACTGCAGAACTACAGCGGGGTAGCTCCTGGGACCCCTGTGTGCCAGGACATAACCTGGCTGCCTACCTGCCCAGCTCCTAAAAGACTTTTACTGTAGAGCCTCAGCGGGGTAACTTTCGGGACCTGGCACTAGCTGGGATTGAGCTGGGATGCCTCCCCACCCAGCTCCTAAAATACTTTTTCTGCAGAGCCACAGCAGGGGTAGCTCCCAGGTCCCAGCACAAATCAGGGCTAAGTGCTTTGCAGTACTAACCCATATTGATTAATTGTATAGTCGCCAGAACGTTTGTCGACTGCTCGATTAACGAATTACACGCTTCTTAACATCCCTACTTAATGCCCATACAAAAGTGGATCTGCGCCATTGGAAATTTGGGCCCTGATCGTACTGGTCAAACCACAGATTATCAAACCACTGCTTACAAGACACATGTGACTCTTTTACAGTTTGTATGGCTTGTGGAGTCCCCCCACCCATTCTCCATCTGTCAGAGATGGTGGGGAGCTCAGGGCTTCTGTCTTGTGGTGAGGCTATATGTTTCTGCCAGAGACGACTAGGGTGTGCTGAATTCAGGGCACACAGTTTTTAAAGGTTCATGCCCTCAACAGTTTGAATCATGCCCCTCCTCTTACCATCAGCAATTCTGCAGCTCCCAGGTGTCAGTGAGAGGGGCTGCCAGTCCTCAGTGTTGCCCAGACTGTGGCTCTGGTCCCTCCTCTCAGAGCTGCACAGAGCATCCCTCCAGTAGCAATTTAAAAGTCCAGGGCTTTGGCTGTTCCAGCAGTCAGGAGTCCTGAGTACTTTTGAATCATTGGGTCCCAGGGAACTGTGTCCTTCAAACCCTTCCCCCCTCCCGGTAAATGGACCAGGTTCAAAGAGACAGAGCAGCAAAAGCAGCAGCTTTCCCAGCAGCTCCCAGCTCTTTGCTGCTGGCTCTCTTCATGGCTGAAGCTCCCAATTTGTTAGCTTTAAGAACTGTCGTGCAGGTAAGGTGTCTGGTACCACGTGACCAAGCAGATTCAGCAAACCTTGGCAAAAATCAGGGATGTGAGCATGTGACTCCACATGCTTCCCACCCACCTCACCTCTGCTTTTGGTCTAATAGGAGGGTTGTCTCGTGGATTCAGTCCCTGTGGAAGTCACCTGCTGGGTTTTGGGGCTTCATCAGGGATAGGCTGAAGTCGCAAGCCCAGGGAGGTGTGCCCTGCTCTCAAATTTCTAAAGATTGTCATATATGGCATGGAAGGTCAGTAAATTTAGCCACCCCTGGTTTATATTGTGCTCCAAATCCCTAAAAGATGCGAACATGGCTACAGCATGGCATAGGGATGCTAGGAGAAACCTACTCCTTAAATGAAGTAAATGTTTTTGTGCTGCTGAGCAGAAATATTTAATCTTCAGTAAATTATTATTATTTTACAGATATTACTGTCTAGCAGCTGTTGCAGCTTTGCTAAAATATGTTGAATTTATTCAAAATTCAGTTTATGCTCCTAAGTCACTTAAGGTTCGTTTCCAGGGAAGTGAGCAAACTGCTATGATAGATTCATCATCAGCCCAAAATCTTGAATTGTTAACTAACAATAGAGATTCTCGGTAAGGTTATTTTGTTATTAGAAATTCAAGTTTTTTGCATGGTTATACATTTATAATTCACCAAGTTCTGTGGTACATTTATTTAATCATAAACAAAACATTAATTTGGCCCTATCCTGATAGCAATTATATTGTAAGTAAAACTGATTTTTAAATAATTTGAAAAAAGAAAACTGCAGCTTAATGCCAAATTCATAGTTCTAGTCTGGAATTGTTTTATGTGCATCAGGAAATCCCTAGTAATGAAGGGATTAGAAAGAAAAGGAGAAAAGATAAGAATTGTGTAAAGATGTATGGTGTTTCCATCACAGATGAACTAGTTGTCAGCAGCTATGACTTCTATAACTGACACAAATTTTGAATAATCTAGAGATTCACGGAATATGGCAGTGTTACAGAAGTAAACATTTTTGTGAAAGATATATTCTCTAAAGATAACATGTGCCCAGGGTTATCACTCCTTAGTCTTATCTCTCTTACACAAGACTAGCTTCCCAAGATCCAAAACTTTTTTCATCCCTAACTGCAGCAGTAGCAGGTAGCAGCATGAGCTGGTCATATGCAAAGTTCCACTAAGTTGCATAGCAGGCAGCCTGCTCGGGGATTTCTTTCACCAAAAGGCATTTTCCTCCTAGGAAGAAGAAAGATCTCTCTGGGTACGTCTAGACTACATGCCTCTGTCGCCAGAGGCATGTAGATTAGGCTACCCGACAGAGTAAAATGAAGCGGCGATTTAAATATTCGCCGCTTCATTTAAATTTACATGGCTGCCGCGCTGAGCCGATCAGCTGTTTGTCGGCTCAGCGTGGTAGTCTG